CATACTCACCAAATAAATATCAGTTAATTTGTGTTTAAAAAATTAAGATAAGCAAGGAAGTAAAATTTGGTTAACATGTTCAATGTCTCACCTGTTGTGGAAAGTAATAACAGCAGAAAAGGCTCTACATAATATACGGTAACACATGAGACTGACATACTGGTTGAGTATCTTCTTAAACCTAGATTGGAAAAAAAAAATTTATAATCCATGCACATCACACTGTCACTAAATGTTTTAATTATATCTTACAGGCTATAGCTGTTACCCTAGTCTACTGACCTGTGTATTGTGCATCAAAATACATCATGGGACTTACCTGTTCTTTGGTAAATATCCAATGAAGGCTGTACTAATAATCAACCATGCAATACCAATTACAGCTAATATTATTCTGAAAAGTAAAATATATAAGGAATTCAACTTGAATTTCAAGCAAATCACATATACATATAATATCTGTATTACTTTTGAGCATAAAAATAATATGCTTCAATGGTAGGACACATAGCTCATATTCAAACTTTAACTAACTTATTTCCCTCCAATAAAGTAGAATTTTAACCAGCAGTATGATATACAATATTATTTTCCTTCATTGACTGGACATAATGCATTATGACTGATAAAGGCAGATTATGATATGCATGCAATATTAGTAGAGCATTTATCTTGATTCAACTGACTGTTTCATTCACCTAGACAATGAATGACCAACATACCTGAATGGCAACAAGAAAAGGTATCTAACATAAACCCCTAAGCCCCAAAGGACAGTCAGGCGAACACTGAAAAGACCAAAAAATTCAGTTTCTGATTAAGCACTCTTGACTTTTCACAATGCTACAGTTTTTATTTAAGTTCTCTTAATTTCCCAAGGACAAAAAACAATCTACTTCAAAAAACTTCCAATTAATAATGGAGAGAAGTTCAGGCAAAAGAAAAAAATATTCCCAGTATTAAACAGAACATTAAGTTACCCTATTTAACTGACATATCTTACCAAAATGTTTACCCTATTTAACTGGGTATCTTACAAAAATGTTTACCCTATTTAACTGACATATCTTACAAAAGTGTGCACACATAACTTACCTCAGATATTGATAGTTGTTGTTTGTTCTGGACAACAAATTCCATGAAGGAAGCTCTAAAATGTATAGATAAATGCCATCAAAAAGCATTCCATAATGACATTACCTCTTTAAATATCCAAGGCCATTTAAGACTTAAAAGTAAAAAATATAACAACATATCTTTTGGAAGTTTTCTGGAAAATCAATAATGGAAAATGCTTTCTGAATACTAGACTAAGTGTAGTACACAAATGTTATAAATACTGCCAAATATTTACCTTCAGAACTAAAACATTTTGTTACTTCATCTTCAATTATGGCCTGTAAAACAAATGAAAGTAACTTCTAAGCTTTTGAGAATATATAGCTGATCTGATGACTCAGTTTGACAATTAAAACACAACATACATGATTGTTTTAGTTTTAGACAAAGTAGGCCTTTTCAGACAACTATGAATAAGTTACAGATCCTCTACATGAATAACCAATAACCATGCACTACAAGTACATAATTCATTTGCTGAAATGTGTACTGCAGTAAGGTGTTTGGCAGGGTTGGATTGGGCAAGGGCTGGCTTCAGAGAGAAGTTTGGGTATTTTCTTACCTAATTAACCTTTCAAATATGAAATGCTCATTTTTGAAGAACATCGCTGACAATATTTTAAAACTGCATGAGATAAAGTAGTGATTTCTTACACACAATTGCATTTGTGTTTAAAAAATATACCATCCTCCCTTATATTATCCTAGTTTGTTTGACTGATAAGGAAAGACTTACCTCTACACCACTTTTACAGAAGTACATTGTATCTGTGAGTTGAAATTCTCTCTGCATGGTCTCTACAGAACGGACGTTGGAGATTCTGATTCCTTCGGAAGCTCTTAGTGGCATCTCTCTCTCTATCACATGCATTCCTTAAAGCAGAATTTGCAACAAAGTGAAATACATTCCAAATGAATATTACTATAAACTAAAAGGTTACCATTATGAGTCTTATAGTTTTGTGTGTGTGTGTGTGTGTGTGTGTGTGTGTGTGTGTGTGTGTGTGCACAAGTACATGCATGTGTGTGTGTATACACACCTACATATGTGTATCTCATATAAGCTTCACTTCAGAAAAAGCATTTTAGTCAGGCTTTGAACACTGGAAATAAATTCAAAGAATGAAGTGGAAGTAACTCCAAATGTTTCAGTCATGGTGACATTCACGTACATAGTACTTGTTCACATTGTGCCCTATATGTCACCGTTAAGCATTATCAGATAATGATACTGAAAATAAACATTGGAGATAGCTGCATGTCTGTAGTAAAACTTCCTAAGCAGACATTTACTAAGTGGTTTTATTAATAGTACATGTCCCCCACACCAAACAAAAAAAAGATAAAAAAGAAACAAAAACAGCATAGCTGTCAAATGTACAGACAAAAAAGCAAGAAGTGATTCACAAAAAAGGTTACTTAGTTGATATGAGGCAACATTATAAAAAGCTCAACAAGGTTATCACCACCAATTTTCATAAACCACTATTTCATTACCTGATTCCTCAGACTGAACACAACCATTCCCAGACGGTGCTTTTTTGTCTTCCTCACCAGCATGACCATCTTCTCCTAATTCCTTACCGGTTTGTTCCTCTGCAGAATCCTGAATAAACCCTTGTTTGTGCTCTATCTTTTGTCGTCCATACTGAAAAATATCCCATATACCAAGTAAACACAATGCAAACAAAGTTAATCACTTACAATATTAAAAGGTTTTACTTTTCTTCAGCTTTTCATCTTAAGAAAGAATTTCTAAAAAAGGCTAAAATTATTAGCATCTATCAACACAAGTGGTTTGGCTGCTGTAGATTTCACTTTCAAGGTCAAAATAAATGATTTCAAGAAGTAATCAGAAATCATTTTGCAAGTGTTTTAGATTCTTGTCAGTCGCGATTTGATAATACTTACATGACGGGTAAGTTTTGACCCTGATAGTGATATACCAGGGTTAGTTTATAAAGGGTTACTGGGGTCTACTGCTAACAATTAAACCCAGTTATTATATAAACTGCAACTTATAAAGAATCCCTGGCAATTTAGCCAAATGCTAAAACTAACTTAAATTGGCTAAATGAAATAGGGCTGATTCGACTTATTTTAGTCAATTTTAAACCATTTGGAGAAAAAAATGAGGAAAACGTAGCAATTTGGCTAAATGAAAAAAATTGCTAACGCCACCCCAGAATCCTCGGTTTGTCATATCATTTCATCCTAGGACATGTACAATTTAACACAAAAAGTGAAAACATCTTTCCAAGACTACACAAGGCCAGGGTGTCAAATCAACAACTGTATCATAATTTGATCATGCTTCTGTCACTCTGCCCTGCTTATTCCATGCATGCACTCACATGTGGCACTTTCTTTGGGTCCAGATAGATAAAACTGTTCTACAGAGTAATTCATGAATTTTTCTGTTTAACTCATTATCGCAGGTTGAACATTTACTTTTTCTTTTGGACTTCTCCAACTGACTGAGTGCACACACTAAGACAAAAGAAAGCTTTCTTTTAAATGGAAATAATAACAGAACAAAATCAAGTATTTCAAGACAGGACAACATCTTTAAATAAAACATATCTAATTTAGTCTTACACAAAAAAAGTGGTCTTAAATGAATATATATATATACTATAATTTTTATAGGTCTATAATTTTTAAGGATTTCTGAAAAATCTGTGTGGTATGTATTTTTGCGGCAAAACTCTTTGTGCTCTCCCTTCAACTTGCATACACCATATGAAATAACATCTAATTTAAAAAATCTGAAAAACAAATCAGGAAAATAAAAAAAAAACTGCACATCTGTCCTAAATTCCAAAGTAAGTAAAAACCACTGGTGACAGCGTCTCACAAATCACACCCTGCCAATGACACTTTCAATCCTCTTCAATATCACAAAACTTATCTTCATTATATAGCAATGAGACATTATTTATAAACTGTATGAAAGTACTCCCCACCCTCACCCCACCCTTTCTTTAATGCAGTTATGTTGACTTAATCAGTTCTGCCATTCACATGAATGGGACTGGCAATTTAATGGTTTTTTGATGTGCTTATAAGAAACTTCAAACACTGAAAAACCTGAAAGCAAATTGCAAAACTGATTTATTTGAATATAAAAGATACTCACCAAAATCACCACATCACTGAATTAAGAATAGCATTTAATCAAAGATTTCCAAGTTTGGGAGCACAAAGCATAAGTACCATTTGACCTTCAAGCTTCATGTTACAGGGAGCATTTTTTTCTCTTTGTCTGAAAGTATCCCTGAACACTCCTTACTATTCACAAAATTTGTTTATGTATCACAAGCCTAGACTTCATGTTATTTCTTCACAGGTGGATAATTTCACAAGAGGCAGGAGCATTCTACACTGTGGGCATCACACCTGTCTTTGTCTTTTAGTTTCATTTCCAGACATGGCAAAACTGTCAGTCCTACTGGTCATGATCAATTGAAAATGCTGTCTGACCAATTACAATGGTTAGCTATCAGTCCTTTGGACGAACAAGGGTTTTCTGACAAGTATAAAACTAATTCTGAATAATTCTGACTTAGACTTATAATACTAATATAATCCTTACTGAGGAATCAAAAGGAGAAAAGCTGCACTTGGTTATTTTTCTCCTTTTTAATACCTTTTGTTTGGAGAATTCCCTGCTTTTGCTTTTACATGCACTGTCATTGGCTTTTTATTGCATCACAGCAATCACGTATCCATTCTATCTATGCATGACCTCTTTCGTTGCCAAGCATGCAACCTTGTATTAACAAGGCCAGGGCAAATGTACTGCTAAATTATGACAACTGACTCTTCTCTCAAGATAAATTATTCATATACTAGTAGTAGGCCAAGATAGTGACACCTGACTTGAAAAGGTACACAGACATTCCATTATTTGCATCTTTTTGGAGTAAGAAACAACAGTGTTGAACAGACTAATGGAAGTTATCATTGCTAGTTACAGATTTTAATTACCATTATTATTTTATCAGATTATGATAGCCCGGAGTCCTGAACAGAAAGCTGTTTGCATGCAAATGAGATACAGATACCATAACATTGAAGTGGTTAGCATGATTCATGTACTCTCATTTGGACTACAATCAGTAATAGCATTTGCGCTCTTTGGTAATTAAATCAAGAAAACAAAAAACTGGTTCAGATATAATTTTCAAACTTGCATGAATAATGATCAGCAACAATTCCTACTGTTGAACAATGAAAATGAGTTTGTTTTTTCTAATATATATTGTTATACTGATGGAACGCCTAGAAAGTGAGCAACACTGACCATCAAACTTTATTAACCATAGTTTATAGGGGTCGAGGTTATAGTACTGACTTTATATTACTTGTTGGTTAACACAAAAAAGAGGTCATTTAAAATAGAATCATTGTAATTTTCTGGGTGAAAAAGCAACCCAAACAGATTCATGTTATATTATTGTGATTTTCTGGGCGAAAAAGCAACCAAATAAGACTCACGTTTTCAAATTTTCTTGGAGATGAGCCCCAAAACTCTTATCCATTGGGATACCCCCCCTCCCCCCCAGCCCTTCCCAACCATCATAAACGACCTTATCACCTAAGGTCCTTGCAAACTTAAAAAGTCAGTAGAAACACTGATATAATAATTATGAAATTATATAAACAAAAATTTCAGGACCAATACATATTTTTGTGCAACTTGATCCAAATTTTCCCTTGACCTCTGACTACAAGTTGAGACAGTTCAGGTTACGTGTACTTAACTTACCTCAAATATTTTTAGGAGAACCTGTACATATTTCTTCCTAATTCCTACAGATTGACCTACAGATGCCAACACAACAACCAAAAGAATACCCAATGCTGCCGGAGCAAAAAGGATTGCCGCAGCAGTTATCAACAACTGCTCCATAACTGCTTGGCTTCGGCTGTTCCATATGCACTCCGTATAAACTGTGTCAAGGTCACGGACATAGGCTGTCTATCTACATTATTATCATATTTATCATATCGGATTTGGTTTAGAAAAGTATTTTGTGCCCAAACAGTGAGTTTCAATAGATAAAAAAAAACATTATAAAAAAGAATATTACAGCATGCTGGGATTTGGGTATGAATGTCTTTTTCCGAAATAAAGCCTCGGATTCGCTTTTACCAAGGCGCCCTATACAGTAATGAATGCTTGTTTTACTCGAAACGAGACTGTACTGAAGCTGGAGCGGACCCAAGATGGCGAAGCAGTACACGGCCCAGAAACTTACCTACCAAAAACCGCCATTGCCGGCTCCAAAGTCAATTTCCCCAACAATTAAGGTAAGAATTCCTTAACAAAGTATTTTTGAGTTTTTACTGATTATAACTTTTACGATGACATTATATTTTTCAGGGTTTATTGCATTAGCAAGTCTTGAGTTTTAAGATCTGCATCGTAGCTCTGATACTGATAGTTTAACCTATAAAACTACTGGTAATTTCATTAGAAATCAGCTTCACGTACATAATATCATAATATGGGCATTTTACAAAATTGGCCTTTATGTTTAACTACTATCATTGAATGAGCATTATAAGTTAGAGTTTTCAAATTCAGTTGTAACTTTTAACTATAAGCAGTTCTTTTTCACCGAGATTTTGGTTCCATTTTGTTCAGGGATTGTTGTATGATAGTGGATTGTTGTTATATCAGTGAAAATTATATCAGTGAAATCATAGACATGGAGATTAAGTCTGCCATGATTTACCCAGATAAGACTTGGGTTTTTTTCAATAAATGGATTTAGTTATTATTATTATGTTTTTTTTAACAGTTTGGAAGATATGCTGCCTTATTATTAGGAATAACTTATGGTTATATGCGCCATAGTAAGTAAATTATCACTTACAGTTTTGAATGAAACTTACTACCACATGTGGTTCAAATGTATAATATTAAAAAGAAAAAGAAAGTCTTCATTTATTTCAGTAAATATGCACATTAGTTAAGTTCAGAAAAATGAATGATTTATAAGAGTTTGAAGTGAAAAGATGTATCAAAGCTGAGCACTGGAGACTTGATGTTTATCTGACTTTTCATTCATTGATGAGTAAAAGAAAGTTATTTTGAAACCTGGGATTGTTCTGAATAGTCTCAGTGGATATTTTTACTTTTGCAGATTATTTATTGAAAAAAGAAGCAAAAATTATGGCTTATGAAAAACCACGGCTTCAAGCGAGGAAGGCACAGCTTCAGCTTCAGAAACAAAGGGAAGATTGGAGTAAGATATTCTTTTTTTCCTTAACAGTTGTAAAATTTGTTCACTGATGTACTTGGAAATACACTTGTAGTGAAATTATACTTTCAACAGCATTTTAAAAAATATTTAAGTTAGACAATATCATTATGAAAAGGATATTTTATGAATATAAGGAAAACAAAAACATTCAAAATCATGTTTTTCTTCAAATTACAGTCGCAATGATGAACTTAGCAAAGGAATGTACTGTAACACCCAAGAACCCCAACCCTCCAGACAACATCAAGCATATGCTAATAACATAGATTGGACTTTACTGGGAATGGTACATCTGTTACATTGTCAGTTAGACTTGAAGTTAACACATTAGAATGCTAGTAGAATGACAATGTTAAGAACACCTGTATGGCATGATTGCTGAATCACATCTGAAATGGCACCACAACAGTGAAAAACAAGACACATGGTTGGTTTGTGCACCTAATAGAATTTGACAACTGAAGTTTTCTTTTGTAGTTGAATTTGATTGAAGTCCTCATTTCAGAGAACATTAATTATTAAATGGTTGCTTTATTTCCATATGTATGGACTTTGTGGTTGTTGGATGATAGAATAAAATGATATCAAGTTTCACTGTTGATATTTGTTTTATATTGCACAAGGATCGGTGCAGAGCATGAAATTACTACTTCATGTGCAGTTGAAAAAAATTTCAGAAGAGCTATCCCCCCCCCCCCCCTTTCTAACGAACATGTGATATTGAGAAAAATTGTGCATGCCTTTACTAGTAATCAAAATGCATCTCAGGTAGAGGTGGGGTACACAGATAAATCTCCATCATCCAGATATAGCTTTGATCAACTGTCAGTTGTTTAACCTCCACCCCTAAATCATGTTGCCTGCCTTCAATTAAGGTGCATACCAAGGTTGAGGTGGGGTAAGGTAATTTCTTTGGTCCAAATATCCCTTTGATGAACTGTCAGTTTTACCCCACATCTACCTAGGGATGCACCTTGGGCCTTAAATGGAATTAACAAAGCACAGACTGGTAATGGGTTCTTCATTACAGAAGTGATCCTAAAACCTTATTATGTATGTGTTATTGAAATTCTACATGATAAAAAATACTGATTATACAGACATACAATAAAAGTGCGTGCCTCAAGTCTTCATTATTTCTCGTTTTTTTACTGATCAATAACCAGGTACAACTTCCTTTTTTTCTGCCTCAAGGGAGATCATACTTAAAGGTACATACAAACCGAGCATCGGTGGAGCATGGATCCCCAGTAACACATGTAAACCACTTCTACTAGTTTCTTACAAGACTCAAATAAATTTGACATGCCAAGGGATAAACTGAACAGATCACTCGATCAGCCATAAAAGAGCTTTAGACTGTTCCTTTCTTTAAATTTTTTGTCGGAAATTTAACCTACTTTCATGACCTACTTTTCTGCCCCATTGACATACAGCATAGCATGCTAGCAGAAAAATCCGTTCAAATATCATTTTTGGGTAAAATTAAAGCCTTTTGGTAATTCTCTTAGTTATACTACTTGAAACTGTATGCTGACATCTGGTCGGTTTTTGTGACAAAAAAGTTACTTTGTATGCATCTTTTAATATGAACCCTGAATTTTGTTATGGATACAAAATGCAATTGTTTCACTCCAATGCTTAAGAGACAGTACCTCAAATCAAAGTTAAGCAAAGTAAAGCACTTAAAATCTTTTGACAATGTACAGAAGGCAGCACAACAGTTAAAAACAAGCTAGTCCAGACCCAGCTAGCCCTGTCACTAAGAGTCCAATTTTATGTTTAAAATATCAGAACATATCACATTCTTTCAACATGATGTAGTCTCTAAGGTGCTGCTCCAGTGGGAGTTTTGTCACACCAAAGCCTATGTTACAGCCCAGTTGCCTGCGAATGTGAAGACGGGTGAGGTGCTGGAGACTGGGGATGCCTTCCTGGTGGGCCAGCACCCAGCGGTATAACCCAGGACTGTTACTCTGCAGAAAGTGCATCTCCTGGCCCAGCCACTCCTGTCCAGCCACTGTCAGAGTTTTGATGATGAAAAAGAATCTGTTTATGACAAGGCTGCAAAATATTTTGGGCCAGCTATCTGAGTAGAAGTGATTAAGGGCTGTAACATCTATGGATTTTATGACCGGGACAAAGATGCAGCGTAATGACTCCGGATCTATTTCGTGGTAGAAAAGAAGATGGTTCAAGATAACATGGAGTTCGTCAGAAAATTGTGTTTTCAGGACATGTTCTACGATGTGAAATAGAACCCCAAAGGGATTTTCACACACTTGCAAGCCATTAGGGAGTTCTACATCAAATATTTCCTTCATCAGTAGAAAGGCAATACTAATCTTGCCAGCTTCTAAAGCTCTGAACAGTGGGGTGGTGCCATTGTTGTCCACAATGCCATATTTGGCTTTATGATGGAGGAGTAATTCTACACACTCATAGCCCCCAGCATCACACGCAGCATGCAGTGGAGTGGCCCCATCCTTATCTTGCGCATTTATGTCAGCTCCGTAGTGATCTATTAACAGTTCAACAATTTGATCAAAGTCATTTCTAGCAGCAATATGAAGTGCCATTTCTCCTTTGGCATCTCTGCTGTTCAAGTCTGCACCATTGCTAAGGAGGATTTCTGCACACTCTAATGCTCCTGCTGTCACAGCTTGGTGTAATGGCATCTGTCCTGTTTTATTCCCTTCATTTACATCGGCTCCTGCCTGGACTAGCATTTGAAGGCAAACCTCATGCCCCTGCTCTGCTGCCATGATCATGGGGGTGGTATCTGACCATTCTGCATTATATCTAAAGTTAACCCCAGCTTGAAGAAGATGGAGAACACAGTCAGCATAACCTTTTGATGAAGCCAAAAGTAAAGCTGTGAATCCATCTTTGCCACAGACAGCATCCTTGTATTCTTCATCCTGGACTATTATGTCAAGGTCTGATAAACGTCCATTGGCTGCAGCCTCAACCAGTTCTTTGCCTTTGTTTTTAGCATTTTGCCTTTCTTTGTCCCTCTTCAAAATTTTGGACTTCAAATTACCCATATTGTAAAGGTGTCTGAAAAAGAGAAGAATGGCAGTGGGGACATTATTCACAGATTTGTACTGGTATAGTGAGCAACAGAAGTTCACACTCACAACAGCTATCCACCCTTTTCCTTCAGTGTGTGTGTGTGTGTGTGTTGAGGACACAAAATTTATAATGAGAAGTGGTGGTCCATTTTCCATTAATATTTTCTTGTTCATCTGAATTAAAAAATATTGAACAGTAGCAGTTATGACAACTGTGTATTTCTTGACCTGTATGATACAAAATCTAAATAATTAACAGCCAAGTAATAACAAATGTGGCCTTATGTCCCACACGGGACGAAGAGGAATGATGATGAATAACATAAATGTAATATCATACAAATTGGTATATATTGTATGTGGATTGGAAGAAAGATCCTTATGTAAGTTTTTCCTAACAGGATATTTGATATTAAAAAACTTAAATGTAATGTCTCAATCTTTTTAATGAAAAAAATTGCAAATTTTACATGTGGTGCATTAACAAAAGCAAGCTACCCAAGTTTTATTCTATACAGTAAAAGCACCACAGATGCTATATAGAAATATGATTTTATGATTCCAAAATTAAATGTATCTGTAAGATGATAAATTTTTCCCATTGAAAAGATCAAGTCATTACCATATTACTTAATCAGCTTTTACTTATAGTAAAATTTGCATGTTGCCGTTTCAACTTTCCTCATTAATGTGAAACCCAGGGAAGTGCTTAAGATGCAATCACAGTTTTCTAATGCCTGTCATTTCTTGAGCATGGTATCTCTATCATCTTCATCGTGGCCATGCAGTGAATTTTAATTCCCACTGACAGTTGAAGGTGTGTATTAGACCACAAATAAATATAATGTCCTGTGATATAGTGCTTCCCACTGAACCTGGCAGAACTTGACTGCTTAATTTAGTACATTTACTATTATACTGATAAGTGTAAATAATAATATTTAATAATTATACTAATAATACTATAATTCTCCTCAAACTGCCATTTACATATATAATTTTTTATAAAGCACATAGTGTGAGATTATGTATTTAAAACATAACCTACTTTACATCAATTACTTGTTGTTTACAGCTCTAGTCTAGTCCTTTGACAGGTTTTGATATAGAAAAGGGCTTTTTTTAATATTAGGTGAGCATGTCATTTGACAAATGCCACAAGGCCATATGAAAGTAAGATGGACAACATATAAACTGGATTTTTCGATTGATAACTAGTAATTTTCTTGTCAGTAACTGGGTGTAGCAATTAACCCAAGGGGCAGTGTCATATATTTCTTTCTTTTAACACTATCAGAACAAAGGAATCTCATTTTTTTCTCCATTTTCTAATGAAAATTCTGAATACAGAAAACCCTAAATTTACACAGACTCATATTTCACAGTCTAACAAGAGCTACGCATTTGTTCACCAGTCAGAAAGCCAAGCCGTGTAAAAGTAACTTTTTCCTGTTGTGTTATACATCTCCATGAAACAATTTTCCAAACCATTTTCATAAATAAATAAAAGAACAAGTACCTGCAATCAATATTTGTCCATTATTCAGTCACTGTGCTCCACTGAACTGAGTTAAATGGAACAAGAAGTAGTGGATCTTAATCTTCAGGTAAACCGGCGCATCTCCTTGACGTGTGGCTAATGAGATGTGCTCATGACAAAAAGACTGCAGAGGCTGACTCATGGGGGATGACAGGTATATATCTACAAAATCACTTTCACCTTGCCCTGGATTCAATTCAAGTTTCAATTAACGTCTGCTGCTTCCAGTTTGGTGCATGTATTAATTAACCCTACCGTGTTGTTCTACTGTTATGATCCAAGCCCCAATGTTTTCTTTTTCATCAATAAAACTGGTGATTGCCATACCTGCCTGCAGCCATTTGTAATGAGTTTGCAGTCTGGTCATGCATTGTTGTCTCATCAAGCCAACTTTTCTGCTTCATCTTGTACAATCACATATAAAATCACTATGACAGGACAATGGTACTTTTCAAAACATATAATTTAGTCAATACTGCATGTGGTTAACCACTCACCAGAATCAATAGTAAAAATCATAGTTAATTTTTTTTTTTTTTTTTTTTTTTTTTGGAAGGCCACCAGGAGGTACCATTTATTAAGGGAGTGTGAATAATGCTGATTTCCCTAATGGGAATCCTGACCAGAATAATCCTTGTATAACTGATTGTGGGTGCCAAGGCATATTATATGACAATGTATGTAATACAGATGTGAACATGAAAAAATTGTGTATATAAGACACCTTAATAATGACATAACAGATTACTTTTTTAAGAAGCACACATCTTTTTCAGTTGTGACTTTGCTTTGCCATTTTGTTTACAAATGTTTAAAAATACAAGCCAAGTCCCAGTGAAGCTACAGTCTAGTGTACAATATTAATGTATATGCACCCTGAAAGATGTGGAGGGATAACAGCCCATTTGAAGTCCTCAACTCCTCAAATGTTTGGGCTATTAAGCTGTATGCAGGGCTACCTCGTCTCTCAACCAGATAATAACCACTTTCACTTGTGTCTGACCAAATGTCAAACTTTTATCTCACAGACGAATCTAAGACTGCATTCAGATTAACACATCTTACTAGCTGGATCAGTCTAAGGCTTCGTTCACATGCAATGTCTATTTTCTAATTTCTATTTTCTATTTGCGGTATGTCTTATGATCACGGTCTGTGGCCTGAATATCCCGCGGCGTAATTACTGGCAGCGCGAGCCAGTTACTATAAGTTACTATAAGTAACTGGCTCGCGCTGCCAGTAATTACGCGGCGGGATATTCAGGGCACAGACCGTGATCATAAGATAGCGCAAATAGAAA